GCCGTAGGCTAAGTAGGTGCCAACCTAGTTGCGGATGTACTTAACCTATAGCTGATGCCCCAATGTTTTACCATCATCAATAATTTACACCTATTATTTCAATAAATTCAAATTTTGTAATATTTTATATTCATTTTTGAAATAAAAATTATTCATTCAATAAATGTCATATAAATAATTTAATATTTGTAATATTTTGGAAAAGTTTCAATTTCATATATATAAAATTATTCATTTCAAAAGAAAAAAATTACATAATTGCATACTTTTTTAGTTATAAGTTCATAATTAAAAAAACATAAGCCATATATAATTAAATTTAAATATCACCATGAAACAAAACCAAACAAAGCATCTCATTAATCTTAACTAAAATATTCTAGTATAATTTTTTTTATTTCTAATATAAAAAATAAAATAAAATAAAAGCCCAACTAGGCCCGGCATGCGACCCTATTACGAGTGGGCTTGGGCCTGGGCCCTAAAAAGACGAGAGCCCGCGAGGCCAGCTTGGGCCAGCTTGAGCCCGGGCTCGAATGGACCGGGCCATTATTACATCCCTAAACATTGACGTTGTGGATTCAATGTTAGGCAAAGCAATTCCGAGGTGAAGACAGTGGTGGAAGAAACACATCGGATTCGATTTAATTTGGGCACGAATTCGGTAGATGATTGAGGGTTCTCATGTGTAATTCCTTTGTCTTCTTAGTGGATTGTTTTGTAGTTTTGATCCATAAATTTTTTATCACAGTTAGAGGTGCTTCAATTGTGATTTTTTCCACGTTATATCGTTGTTTTGATTTATCAATGTTTGTTTGATTGATATAGTTCAATTCTCGTTTAATTTAATTAAATCTACTTGTGTTTTGATTGGAGATTGTTATTCATTGCTAAAATTGAATCCTAATTGCAAATCACTATCTCGGGATTTTTAAGGTTTTTCACAAACAAATTTTCAAATTTTGTAAGTTCTTTCAAAAAAATTATTTTTCAAAATTATTTCATAAATACAAACCAAACATGGCCTTAGTGGTTTAGGAGCACTGCTCCATACCATTTATATTTGGACAAGTATCCAGTTGTCTTCCCAAATGAGACAAACAAATAATGGGACCCACTATTGCAACTAATAATATTTAAATTGGCACACCACCTAGATTTGCCCTGGGTAGGCCTGTAAATGGGTCAAATTCGGATTTTTGATCGTATCGGATTTGTCAAAATCCGAATTCAATCCGATTAAGACAAACTAGAATCCAATTTGAATCCGTTTAGCCCATTTCCAATTATAGATCACCTGAATCCGAATCCGATAATTTCGAATATCCGATTGGATCCATTTATTTATTTATTGAGTTATAATTTTATATAATTTATTATTATTTTTTTCATTTTGTGTTTTCTTCATTCAAATTGAGAATAATCAGATCAGATTATCAGGTCGGTTCCAATTTTTGCATATTCAATCCATTTAATAAATGGATTAAACATATTCGAATTATCGAATTGCCAGATTAAATTTTTTGTAAATGGATTCGGATTTTCGGATCAAATTCGGGTCAGATTCAGATTAACTCCGATCCATTGACAGCCCTACCTGGGGCAATGAATAATTTCTCAAGGGAAAGACTATGGTACACAAAGGGTGTCTGTCATATGCATCTTATAACTAAAAAAAATAACATAAATTTATACTTTCTGAGTTACAACTAAAAAAAAAAAATTTATAACCAAACACTATGTCAAGCATAACCAAAGATCTCATAGTTATAACTAAAATATTATCATAACTAAAGAGGCGGGATATCGTGCTGTCATAGCAATTGTGCCGTTTTCATTTTTTTTTTCTTCATATTTTTTTACTATTTTTTTTATTATTAATTTCTTTTAGTTAAATTACAAATACACCTCATGTAGTTCGATTGCCCTCCATAGTTTTGGAAATTATAAATATTTTATTGTCAGAATTTTTATTTAACATAATTAACAGAAAAAATAAAATTCATAACTATTCTCTTATACGATAATAAAATTATTATAATCATTAATTAAGATATATTTTTAACATTATTAAAAATTATTAATTGATTTAATAATTGTTAATAGAAGTGATCATCTGTTATGCAATTAAAAATTTAAAGAAATCTAATGTAATTTTTTAAATTATAAAAAATAGTTTATATGTTAAACAAATCTTAAAAGTATATTTATAATTTATTAATTTAACAGTCGTTTAATAAACTTAAATTTGAAAAGAAAACAAGGCAATAAATTTTTCTAGTGTCTTCTCTCTTTTTTTGTCTTTTTCTATCCAATAACCCATGCCGTACTCTCATGTCATGTTTAGACAATGATAAAAAAATTTAAAAATTTCTTTAGTAATTCACGATCACCACCATAAAATTAGAAGGGATGACGTTTGATTAATATCAGATAATTATCTTAGACTCTGTTTGGGAAGGGCTCATCGGCTATATGAGCCACATACGACAACACAGGCTCATTTAGCCACATACGACAAAACACGGTACGCTAGGGTTGGAGAGGAACTCTTATACGGGTAAATTCACCAAAATACCCTCTATCTCTTTCCTTTGTTCATTTCGGGAATACGCAGCACCACACGCACACACGACACAAGCCAACGGATCTAGGGCACGGAAGGAGCGACCTAGGCGATCTCTTCCAACCACCGGCGACCGATCGGCACCGGAATAGGCTTCTAGCGGCAGAGAAGAAGACCGAACCCTGTTCGATACACCACCGATTAACTGGTAACTCTTCCAATCCAGAACTGATTTTGTAGATCTTAATGCCCAATGCTTCATGAATGGAATGATTTTATTTTTTTCTACGTTTTTCCTTCCCCCACTTCAGATCGCAGTGTATTTTGGCCTGTATTGATCGTATGTCGTTGTAGAAATTTTTTTATGGTCTGGTGGTATGTTGATTAACTGGTAACTCTTCCAATTGATGGTATGTCATTGTATTGATGGTCTGAACTGATTTTATTTTTTTCTACGTTTTTTCTCCCCAAAAGTTGTTCTTCATTCATACATATTATAAAATTTGGTTTATATTTTCACCAAGTAAATAAATACTTACAATTTCATATTTTTCTGATAAGTACAAAAATTAATTAACGAACTCAAAAAAATTAAAATTACTATACATTTTTCTGTATATTAACAACAAAATTTAACGAGATACTAACTAATGACAATGTCCCATTCCCACATCCTGACGAAGGTAACACATGCCGATGTTTGTGGATTTAGGGGGTTCTCTGTACAAATTTTAGGTGTCATACATTGTTGTCATGTCTGCAGGCAAATATTATCTTGTCGATTCTGGTTATCCAAGCCGGACGGGGTACTTAGCACCATTCAAAGGCCACCGTTACCACCAACAAGAATTTCGACGTATTGCACGGAACAGGATGGCAAACACGCCAAGGGAGTTATTTAACAAAGTGCACTCGTCCTTACGCAGTGTGGTGGAACGCACCTTCGGTGCCTGGAAAAATCGATGGGGGTTTATTCGAGACATGCCTCGGTATGACTTTGCAAATGTGCAAGTTCAGTTAGTAGGTGCGTCAATGACATTACATAATTATATACGGCGCAACACAGGTAACCCAACAACTGTTCACCCAATCTGTGACGAGGAAGAGGCTATGACAATAGTAAATGTCATACCAGAAGTTGAACATGACGAGGATGGTTTAATGGTTGGGGATAAGGACCCACATATGGCATTGGTGCGCCTTCACATACGCGACAAATTATGTTACATGCGTAATAACGAGATGTTAGGAAATATATAATAGTCGACCTAATTTCCGTAGGGTTGTAACATTACTAATGACACTCGTGGAACATACTGTATTGAAATATATTATCATGTACAATATGTATGTGTGTACACAGGGATATACCCCCTTCCAGTTGGTGACGTGCCGAACTCTGAAAAACCAAAATACACAAGATCGGAAATGCTTAATCCATTTTTTCAAAATGTAAAATAAAAAATGTGAGTGAATAAGAAAATGACAAAATCGTAAATTTTTTTTAAAAAAAACAAAAAAAAATACGCCTCATTCAAAAACATTTTAAAAAAATAACATGAAAACATAAATCATCATTCGCCACGTAATTTACAAAAAAAATGAAACACATAAATAACAAAAACAAGTGCTTCTATACCAATAAAAATAAAGGAAAAGAACTAATTCATGTAAAAAGAAAAAAACAAAGACAAAAACATAAACATAAACATAAATTTAAAAAAATAAAAAAAATTAGCAAAATACGTCAAATCGAAACCCAAAATAAAAAAATTAAAACAAAAAAAAAACAATGAAACCAAAAAACGCCAAATCACTTCCAAAATAAAAAATAAAAAAACGGTTCGAAAAATACACCAAATCCAAACCCAAAAAAAAAAAAATTAAGAAAAGCAAAATACGGCAAATCGAAACCCAAAATAAAAAAAAATTAAAAAAAAAAATAAGCAAAACACGCCATATCCAAACCCAAAATTAAAATGAAGAAATAAATAAATAAATTAAGCAAAATATGAGAAATCCAAACCCAAAATAAAAAATAAAAAAAAAAAAACCAAAAAGGGTAGTTTGGTAATTTAACAGGATGACACCTCACAAAAAAGTCAAAAAGTTAAAAAGTCCTTCCCAAACCAGGCTTTTGAACCCCAGGCTCATATAGCCAAAAAAGCTAAAAAGCCAACCCCTTCCCAAACGGAGGCTTATCATTATTGTAATTTTTGACTTTTCATAAATATTGGGGATAGATATAATAGAAACAAGCTAAAGCAACGTTTTTTTTTTTTATGGCGTTTTTATTGAAACGCCATCACTGATCAATTAAAACTTAAAAACAACAGTGCCGTGTTAATTAATTTCAAAACAGTGCTGTTGCTGGTGCATATCTGACGCCGTCACTCTCTTCCTCTCACTCTTACTCGCTCGAATTCACTCTCACTCTCGCTCGAAGTGTCTCTCACTCTCGCTCTCTGTACTCATCTCTTCATCAGATCTATGAAGTTTGTCGAAGATTTGAAGGTTGATTCTTGAAGATTCGAAGGTTGATTCTCCAGATTTGCAGTTGTCTCTTTCGATTTTGTGAGTTTCAATTTGTTTAGGTTTTTTATTTTTAATAGATTTTTTACATTCTAACTCAGATCTTGCTTCTCTCTTCTGATTTTCTGTTTTCATTAGATCTCATCGTTCATCTAGTGGTCGATTAATCTACATGAAACCTGTTTGAGATTTGGCTTCTCAAATCTGTAAGTTTAACTTTAATTTCGGACATGTATATATGCATTTGTTTTGTATGAACTTAGATTTCTGATTTTTCAGACCTGTTTGAGATCTATATATATATATATATAAGTGGGAGTGTTTGTGTATAAATTTGTGTATATTCTGTGTATGTTCTGTGAAATTTCTTGGAACTGGTAGCTTAGATTTCTGATTTTTCAGACCTGTTTGAGATCTATATATATATATATAAGTGGGAGTGTTTGTGTATAAATTTCTGTGTATATTCTGTGTATGTTCTGTGAAATTTCTTGGAACTGGTAGCTTTGAGAATCAAATCTACTCTTGCATATTCTGTGTCTAAATCATGTGTTTTTGGAATTATTGTGAAACCAATGTCTGATTAATCTACATGAGAACAATCAACCATGATAGTGTGCCAATGTCTGGATGAAGCTTGAAGGGATGCCTATGGATTCTATTAAGTGCCAAATCCCACTAAATAATATGCAAAGTTAGTTCACTTTAGCTGACAAATAACTCACAAAATTAATAGTTCACTGTAAAGCTCTCTGTGACTGCTTTTGGGGATCTAACCACATGAATCTAATTCCTCCCCTGTTTTGATAAGGAGATTGATTGAGGTGGAAACTATTTGGTTCTGCTTATGAGGTGGAAACAGTTGTTTATTATTGAGAAGTAGGGGAATGGGTACTTTTACTTATGCTTTTTTATTATCAATTTTCAGCTTGCAAGATTCATTTCTTATTCTTTTCCTACACATTATATACATTTTAGCTGTGGTTGCTAAATCTCTCTCTCTCTCTCTCTCTCTCTCTCTCTCTCTCTGTTTTTTGTGTATACGGTTATGTATATATATATATATGCTGTTAGAATTGCAATATTACTTGGGATTTGCTCTTTATTTTCAATCATAAAAAGAAGGGAGCTACTTGAATATGTATTGTAAAAACTTAACTAATGGCAGAGTGGAAAATTTGAGACCTTAGTTTAGAATTTAATGTTGAATATAGATTTTAGAATTTCTTGATTTGGTAAATATTTGAGTAAAATTCAATTTGGTCTAAGTTTATGTCAAGGAGTTTAGGGTGTTTTGAGTGGTTTTTTTTTTTTTTTGGTCTTTTTAAAAAAAAATTAATATTCAAGTTTATTTGATTTTAGTGTAAGTTTGTTTGATTTGAAATATAAGAATAATATGCTCTGGGCCGTCTGATTCTAGTGCCTTATTACCATCACAATCTTTCACTGCTTCCCATATCTCAGTCCTTGTAAACTCTGCTTCCAACACCTCCACCACCTTTGAGCTACTAACTGAAGCAAAATTTCTTACCAGTTTCGGCCTAGATTTCCTTTCTTTAGAAAATGCTTTGAAAAAATGCCACAACACTTCATTGAATTATAGATTGTATTATGTTGAGGTTGCTTTCGACTTCTTGCCTTCATAGATGAGTTCGTAGTTGTTATAATTCTTAAACTTGTTATATGTTATGTAGAGTGAGAATTTCTTATACAATGCTCCATTTGTTTTGGAAACTATTTTTTAATGAAAACCTCTTTATAAATTTTTTTCCTTATGTGACAATTTTTTATATATGTCGCTAAAAATTGATAATTAGTGACTTTTTTGTCATGATTTTTTATAAATTGTCGCTAAAATTTATAATTAGTGACTTTTTTTACGATAAATTTTTCTCAAAGGACTTATTGAATAATAAATTTACTTATTAAGACCTACATGTAAGTATTTAAAATATTAAAGGCCCTTGGACCTACCAGTCAACATTTACTCTCTTTTCATTAATTTTTTAGGTGACGGAAACTTTTCGTATTGTAGTGATATGGCTTTTGTTACTGGAAAAGAGTAACATTATAGATACTATTTTTTATATTATTGTCTATTTATAACGAAAATGAGGCCCGCATTATGTCGGTAGGACGCTTCACCCAAAATGATGCATACTACAAAATTTTTTTTTTTTTTTTTTTTTTTTTTTGAGGCATTTTTGTAAAAAATTTTGAAGGCATTTTTGTCATATGGAAGTGTTTTTTTTAAAAATATTTTTCATATCAAAATAGAGAAATGGTTCTTTAATAAATTTTTTCTATCTAAGAATTTCCATAGGCACTTTCTCTAGTGTATATGTTTTTTCTACCTAGGAAGTCTCATAGAGATGTTTGCCTATCTAGTGATCTGCAATATATTTGCAACTTTAAATGCTACTACTAAAATTTTCTTGCATAGAAAACTTTGTTCATTTATTTTCTTCAGTGCTTTGATGATATATCTATATTGAACCTTCTATAGAAGCCTATAATTGATAGACTTGGAGAAGTTTATGACAGCCCCTGCAAAGGTCGGTAAATAATAATAATAATAATAAAGCTAGAAAGAAATAGTTGTTTTCCTTATTGGTGGATGCCACAATTACACATTGAACAAATCGTTTCCACCACTCTTTTACAGACACAGTTGGCCTTACAATTGTGTTAGGCCATTGGGGAACGGAGGGGGTGGTGAATCTCACAAAGATGCGGCTTGTGAACTTTTCGAGAGTTTGGAACTACTTCTGTATGAAAACCTTTCATCCAGGTACATTTTATGTGACAGCTATAGCTATTTGCACTGTCAGAGATTTGTTTTATGATGGTTACTATGTCATGCTGACTTCTATCGTCTCTTTTTGTTATTTGTTTGGCAGTTGTCTTGGTTGGGAGAGTTGCGTACAATAATAGAGAGAGATTACAACAAATTAATTTATAAGAAATGATATCCACTATCAATGATGAATTGATTCATGAAATGATTTGTAACCCTAGTTCATCATCCACCTACCAGTGATACAAGAAATGATCTGCTGTGATGGTATGTTACCAAGTATTAATACATAATTTTGGCCAACATAAATTGATTTGGATTTGCATAACAGGTGGCAAGTTCTCGAATCTCAGATGTGAGGGTCTGGAGGCGTGTGATCATTTGACTTAATGAATGAAACCTGCTATATGTTTATTTAGGCTTATTCATGTTATTTGTTCTTGTCAAATGCAGGTTCACGTATCAAAGAAAGGAAAGAAGAAGAAGTAGATATGACAAACTCAATGAAAGAAGGCTGCTGGAGAAATTCTCTTTTGGAGCAACATTTTAAGCATTGTCTTAGGAGTTTTTGAGCTGTTTGGGAAAAGATTGAAAGTTGGGGGAGGGGGTGGGATGGAAAACTTATGTTTGGGTCCCATATTACAGTGACAGGTTGATGTAGTTGCATCTCTATTGATGGCTAATAAGAGGGAGCCCTGCCAAGCACATAACTATTGGAAAAGGTGCTTCATATATGTGTATTTGATGCACACTACTCTTACATGTAACATGACATTTTTTATTTTTCTACATGATGAAATTTTGAGACCAGAAATGTAGCCTTCAGTTTTATGTTCTTTGATTGGAAGATGACATTCAATTAACAGAAATTCTTTAGGAGGCCAAATTGCTATTCATTTATGTGCCTCATGGTATTCCAGTTTTGCGGGGACAAAAAAATGGGTGGCGTTCTTGAAAAAATGCCACTAAATGACGTGAAATGATGTCATTATGACGTCCTTGGAAGTTGAAACACATGTTAAAGATTTTGCGGTGTGTTAAAAAATGCCGTCTAATATTTTTGGTGACGTTTTTCAAACGTTGCAAAGCTATTGTGGTGGTCGTATCAGTGACGAAAATATTAAACGTCGTTGTAACTTTTTGTGATTTTTCAAGCTTTTAGCGGCGTATTAAAAACGCCGCTAAAACTCTAATTTTCCTGTAGTTATATAGTTGTTTACTTATTTTAAAAAATTTGAAATTTGAAATTTAGATGATTTGGTAGATAAAGAAATAGGGTTTAGGGTATGTTTGGGAAGCGCTAATTTGGCTATTTTGGTCACAAAAGACAAAATATGCTATTTTAGCCACAAAAAATAAAACATCACATCCAATCCATAATCATTACACTATTCTCTCACAAAAAAAGCCAAAAAAGTCAAAAAGTCATTCTCAAATCAGACTTTTTAGCCTAGGCTAAAATAGCTAAAAAAAAGTTAAAAAAGTTAAAAAGTCAACCTACTTCCCAAACCAACCCTTAGAATTATACAGACCATTAAATTTGTATCCTTTTATTGATTTGCAATTAAGCTTCAATTTTTTTTTTTTTTTATTTTTTGTGGGTATAATTTTATTTATATATCTCTATATACGTAGATATTTAGTGACAAGTACTGTTACATGGAATTGTCCAAGAATAAATTAAAGAAAAAAGAAATGGGTAAATTATAAAGAGGAAATTATTAGAAACTTCCATTTTAGAGAGTTGTAGTCTACCAAGTCCCATTTTAAAATTAATAGACGTCTAAGTCCTATTTTTTTGGTAATGTGATCCGACGGATCCCATTATGTAATTATGGAATGTTTTTTCTGACTAATGTACTCTTTTTTTGTGGTTGAAACGTATGGGTCATAAATAACGTGGACACCCCTACATACACTACTAAACCCCAAAAAAGCTATAGTAAGTTTTTCCCAAACGTTACATACACCCCACATCATAAAAAGCTATAGTAAGTTTTTCTCAAACGTTACATGCACCCACATCATAAATGTTTTCCCAAACGTTACATACACCCACATCCTAAAAAGCTATAATAGCTTTCCCAAACGTTACATATACCCATATCATAAAAAAACTATAGTAAGCTTTTACCAAACGTTACATACACCCACATCATAAAAAAGTTATAGTAAGCTTTTCTTAAACGTTACATACACCCACATCATAAATGTTTTCCCAAACGTTACATACACCCACATCATAAATGTGTTTTTCCCAAACGTTACATACACCCACATCATAAAAAAGTTATAGTAAGCTTTTCTCAAACATTACATACACCAACATCATAAATGTGCTTTTCCTAAACGTTACATACACCCACATCATAAAAAAGCTATAGTAAGCTTTTCCCAAACGTTGCATACACTCACATCATTCAAACATAATATCACCAAACCCAAAACAGTAAGTTCATGGGCAAAGCTGTCCACCCCCAAATAATAAGACCTTTGGGTGTACAAAATTAAATATGAGACTGATTAGATTACAATCCCACCTTTTAGGATTTATGGGTCAATTCTCCAATTATAAATACATTTTCTAAGGTTTGTTTAATATACAAATTATCCATTGTGGTTCTAAAAATTATATTATACCCCTTCAAATTTTTAATCGCATAACAAATGATCACTTTTATTAATAAATTATTAAAGCAATTAATAATTTTTAATGATGTCAAAAATATATTCAATTAATGATTATGATAATTTCATTATTATATAAAAGAATGATTATGAATTTTATTTTTTTCTGTTAATTATTATAAATAAAAAAAAATGACAATAAAATATTTATAATTTTCAAAATCATGGAGAGCAATCAAACCACATAAAGGTGTATTTGTAATTTATCTAAAAGAAATTGATAGCAAAACAAATAGTCAAAAAGAAAATGAAAACAAATTACAAATATCTATATATATAAGAATCACTTAACTGTTTGAGGTTCATCTTTTCCTTTCGATTTTGTCTTTTTATTTTGAATAATTTACTAATAGTGGCCTATATGTTAAGTGAAGTTTTTTTTTTTTTTTTGTAATTATACAAACATTCTTGATCAATTATGCAACAGGTATTTTTCGTAATTATGCAAACATTCTTGATCAATTATGAAAAACATTCTTGGCCAATTATAAAGCAGGTTTTTTCCAGATTACGCAAACATACTTGGTTAATCATGAAATATAAATCTTTTATTTTTTTAATAAATTACAAATACACCCATAAAGTTTGTTTAAAATATGAAATAATAGTTTAAAAAAGGCCCTTGTTATTACAGTATATTTAAGTTTTGAATTTTGATAATTTTTAAAAAAAAAATTAGGATATTGTTCTATGAAATTGAATAGAATAAATCATTAGATATATGATAAAATTATGCTGTATGATATGTATCATTTTTGATTTGTTATACATTTAATGATATAGACTCCAATTTTATTATCATATCATTTTGAGTAAATTTATGAGTCTTTAACATTTCTTCCGAATTTATAAAAAAAAATTATGGTGTGTAGTTTTTCTCAACAGATAAATATAAAACAAATACTAATATAATTCACTGAACTAATGAAGAAATAGAATAACATACATATATATACAAATGACCAATTTTATTAATACGTAAATCAACAATTTTTAATGATATGAAAAACATTTTTCAGTTAACCATTTTGTTAATAAATAAATCATTAAATCAATTAACAATTTTTAATGATATGAAATATTTTTTAATAAACAATTTTGATAATTTATTATTGCATAGTAGGAGAATAGTTTCCCCCTTCCCCCCTAAGTATTGTGTCAAATTGAAGTTTATAACAAACAATAGTTGTAGTTTTTAGTATCATAGAACTGATTCATATTTTAGACAAACCTGGGTGTATTATTATTTATTAAAAAATAAAAGATTTATGTTTCATAATTGACTAAGAATGTTTGCATAATTATGAAAAAACTTGTTTTATAATTGAATTTTTCATAATTGACTAAGAATGTTTGCTTAATTATGAAAAAATGTGTTGCATAATTGACCAACAATGTTTGCTTAATTACGAAAAAAACATTCACTCAATATATAGGCCATCATTAGTAAATTATTCAAAATAAAAGAGCAAAATCAGAAAGAAAATACGAACCTCAAGCAAATTAAGTGGTTTTTATATATATAGATATATGAAAACGACCATGTTGATATGACAACACTGGGAACGAATCCATGATTATCATTATGCGGTGTGAAAGTATATTTAAAGTTACTAACCCTTATAATTTTAAATTATTTTAAAAAAATTAGTATGATATTTAATATTTTTAAAATTTTTAGGGGTACGATCACCCTTGCTCGCACTCGTAGATCCATTCTTGGACAGCACGGTATTGTCACAACACTTGTCTTTGATCCCATAACTACAAAAAAAAATTAATTATAATTAAAGAAAAAAATAATATAACTGATATTACATATGATACACCTCTTTCAAATGAGATGTATAGTAAAATTTCCCCACACAGTCCGGTAAAAAAAAAAAAAACAAAAAACAAAAAAGAGCAAACCTCAACAAACCACGTAATCACTTTACGTTGTCCCCACTTCACAACTCATGAGTCACAAACCAAAATATCTTCCCGGCGAACCAAATCTCTTTGCCCACTATCCGAACGCCATGTGTTACATTTACTTTAACTGCAGCCACACACGTTTTCCTGCGTAAAAATTCACTGCACGATTTCCCATGCTAGATAGCGGCATTTAGGCCAAGTTTGGTATTCCAAAAAAAATCTAAAAAATCAAAAAGTCACTATCCTATTTGAGTCATATCATCTTATTTAAATCACATCACCTCTCTATCACATCACTTCAAACCCAACCTATATCCAATCCATATTTCATAAAAAATCAAAAAGTGCACTTATTTAGGACACCCCAAACAACCCCTAAGTTTTTTTGATTTTTTTTAACTATTTTAACTTAGGTTAAAAAGTTTAATTTGAGAAGGACTTTTTAAATTTTTGATTTTTTTGATTTTTTTTATGAGAGAAGAGTGTAATGATTATGGGTTGGATATGATGTTTTGTTTATTGTGACTAAAATAACTTATTTTATTTTTTATGACTAAAATAGTCAAAAAAGTCTATAAACCATCTTCCCAAACGGAGCTAAAATTAGTTTAAGCGGCTAGGATTTAAAATCGTTTCATTGCTAATGAAGAGTCTCATACTTATTTGACAAATTCAAACTGAACAAATTTAGCTTATATTTAGGAAGAAGGTTTTGTGATTTTTTTGGTTAAAATAGTCACAAAAAATGAAATAGGTTTTTTAGTTCAATAAGACAAAATATCACAGTCAACCCATAATCATTATATTCTTTCTCTCACAAAAAATTAAAAAAGTCAAAAAAGCCAAAAGTCCTTCCCAAACCAGGTTTTTTAACCCCAGACTAAAATAGTCAAAAAAATCAAACAGTCAAAAAAACAACTCACTTCCTAAACAAAGCCTTACTAAAAATGAACAGCTTAAGGCGTACATCTACTGCAATGCATGATCGCCTGAAAATGGCATTGTCAGATTCCGGCAAGTTAGATTGTCGGAAAATATTGGATCTCCAGCGTCTAGAATCTTCTGGATTCACCACGGCGATTATTATTGCTTGAGAAGATACGATTTTGAGCTTTGGTGTCATCATTTTCGTGTTTGTCACTGTCAGAAAATGGCGTCATTTCGTCACGAATTTTGATGCTAGAGACGATTCGCGGAACGTCACATGCCGTCACATGGATCGATTTCAATAGGCAGACGAAGAAGAGAAATGGAGGACGATGTGAGAGTAGA